GCGGGCGGGTGGGAGGTGCCTGCTGTTTATAATGTTGAATTTCTGTAAAATAAATTGTATTTGCAAATCCAACATTGAGCTTCTGGACTACGCTAATGCCACTGCTGAATCCTCAATGGAAAGGGTCGACCTTTTGCAGTTGAAATGATCTGAAAATGTAGCTTCTGTCCTGAGTCAGTTGACTTGTCGCACATCTCTGTAAGACTTGTATGGTACTGGCAGAAAGTCGTTTTTTAAAAGCCATAGGCTTTTCTTGTCTTTAGCTGTAATAATGCTGGTTTTGGTTTCCGGAGAGCTGTGTTTCTGTCACCTGTGTACTGGCCCTGTGTTTCCAACGCCCTCTTCACTCCCACCTCCCGGTCTTCCGGAGTCTGTGACACTTGATTTAAAATGAGTGTGTTCTCCTGAGAGCAAGTGAGATTGTTAGAGTTCACTTCCAGCTTTACAGTTTTCTAACATAGCTCTAAGGTCCTTGTTGCTGTTTGTGATAACTGATAGATAACCCATTGGAAACATGTGCATACATTTATATTCAGATGAAATTATGGTTTGCACTGTCTATTAAATATCTCGATTAATTTTCATACTTTGCTGTGGTGTTCAGTCAGTCATTTGCCTTGGGAGCCGGGCTCTCCAGGGCTGCGTGGGGTCCAGGGGCGTCTGTGGAAACGTGGAAGACTCGAGCTTGACCGACTCAGCGATTCGAACCAAAGAGCAGAGCCTGTCTCACTAGAAATCCATTCTTGTGAATGGGCTCTGGGGCAGCTTCAGGGTTTGCCCTCCTTCTCTGCCACTGTCCGAGGGCAGCGCCAGGGGGGCCTCTGCATGTTGGAATCCATGGTGCGCCCGCCACACAAGGCGGGGGTGATGTACTGAAGAGAACGGCCTCTCCCAGAGGGAGGAAGTGGAGGGCGGTGAGTGAGAAGGGAGGCCCTGCCCTCAGGGTGATCACAATCTTCTAATCTCGAGGCAAGAGGTCTTGGTGGAAGCAGTAGGGTTCTGCATTTGTAGCAGTGCCTCAACTGTCTCCTCAAGAACCAGGGGTTTGCCTCCTTCTGCCCTGCCAGCTGGGCAGAGGCTTTTCCTTCCGGTCAGGAGCTGCCTCTGCCTCACACCTCAGGCAAACGGCAAGAGGACTGCACTCCCTGTTCTGCTTTCACTAGTTAAGAGGAGGCCAACCTTTCCCAGGAGACTCTGCACGAACGGCCCCATATGTCTCATGGGTCGTGATTGTTACACAGCCTCTTCTTGCTGTAAGGGAGTCTGGGTGAGTGGGAACTGGACAAAGGGATCCAGTCAGGATTCTCCTTAAGGCTCTGGGGATGGCACCTCCCTTTCCTCGTACCTGGACAGAGCTGAGTTTCTGTTAGGGAGGAAGGGAGGCGAAGCTGGGCGGCGCCAACAGTGCCTGCCGTGGAGGCAGGCGCCACGCACAGATGGCAGGTTGTATCGTGCTGCCAGTTTTTTCTCAAAACCAGGTTGCTTCATGACACATTTTCCAAACCCCTAAGTCTGCCTGAGATGCCTCAGAGTCATCCAGAATTTTGTTTTAACAAATTGCAGGTCCTGAGTTCGATTCCCGGTACAAAACAGAACAAAATTCCTTGGGTGATTCTGATGTAGGTGGTGGAGGCCAGTACTCTTGAGTATAGGTCAGCAGGATCAAGTCCTCAGAGAGCCTTACATGGCTCCTCCATGACTTGGTACCAACTTTTATGTCCCCCCAGCTCTTGTTACCCAGAATCCCCCACTGCCTATCTTTGGCCCCTTAGCTTTCTTTTCCTGGACACAGCCCCTTCTTTTTGTGGTGCTGAGGGTGGAATCTAGGGCCTGGTGCATGCTAGGCAATTGCTCCACCACTGAGCTACATCCCTAACCTTACAAATGTATTGAGCACCTCTGAGGAAGCGCTCATGAGGTTCATTGTTTGATGGAAAGGCGCCATTGACCTCCTCAGTATCATCACAGGTTGTCATCAGTATACTGAAACCGACTGGGAAGAAGGCCCTGACTTAGAATGGCTGGTGCAAGAAGTGCTGTCTCAGCCAAGACCTGGGAGTCAGGACTTGGCAAGAGCAAACTTGTGAAGAATGGAGGCGGGGGGGACAGGATGGCGTGCACATCTGCCAAGGCCAGGGGTGTCCTGGGCTGGCTTTTGGGCCTGAGTTGAATAATGACGTAAGAACCAATAGACTTGCAGTAAATATTTAGGAAGTGAATAACAGATGAGGAAACTGAGGCCCTGAGGTGCTTTAGGTCTCACAGTAAGTACTAGCAGAACCTTCCCATCTCCCTTCCTGCTAAGCGGCCTCCTGGCCTTGCTGTTGCCCTTCTGAGCAGAGATGCATTCTCCGGCTCACAGTTCTGCTACCAGCCTGAGCTTTTTTTTTTTTTTTTGGTTTTTCTCCGGTACCAGGAACTGAACTCACAACCTTGCGCTTGCCAGGCAGGCACTTTGCCGCTGAGCTAAATCCCCAGCCCTGAGCTTTTGGTTTTTAATCAGAACAGCTCTAGTGAGACACAAAGGGAGCATTTACTAGAACAGGCACTTAGCGCCTGTCATTTTCTTGACCCCACACAAGGCCTATTTCAGAGCAGGACCTTTCGAGGCCCGGTTTTACCACTGAGCAAACCCCAGGCTCAGAGGGCTAAGGAGTTCGCTCAGATAGCAGAGCAGAGAGCCCACAGCACACTTGGTCTTAGCCAAAGGGCCAAGAAGTGGTGGGAGGGGGAAACACAGTGTAGTCTCCTCAAGTCCAAGAGGAGGCTCCTTCTCCATTTCTCTTTCCTTCCAAGAGCAAACTGGCTGCAGACAATGGAATTCAGACTCATTCAGGGTAACCTGAGGTGGAGCCGGCGTCAGAGCCAGGCAGGCATTGAGGAACCTGACTTCTTCCACAGGGGAATGAGGAAGGCGAGCTGCCTCGGGGCTGGGCACCCTCCGCACCCTGAGGCCTTATTGTCCTCCCATACACACAACAATTCCACCACTGCTTCCTTCATCCCTCCTCAGGTGGGAGGCCCTGTGCATTGGTCACTTGGTCTCTCCATGTGGCTTGGGGCTCCTCACAGCAAGGGGAAGGGAATTACCCTGGTCCTCTTGGGGTTTTTTCTTCTTTTGAGTTGGTTTTTGCTAAGTTACCCAGGCTGACCTTGAAATTGTGTTGCTCCTGCCTCAGTTTCCTGAGAGCTGGGATTAGAGATGTCCCTGGGGATATCTTTGGGGTGTTTACTATGTGCCGGGAATTGACTTACCTCATTTAGTCCCTGAATCTGTGTCTAAAGGATATTTTGAATATATACCATATTTATTTGTGAGTTCTGTGTATGTACCATGGCACTAATATGTAACAATACATACACAACTCTTAGAAGTTTTCAAAAAGTATAAGAAATAAAGATAATTTTAAAAATTCAAAGTTTTCTTCCTGCGTTCCAAAGGGGTTAAAGGATTTACTTCTGAAAACCTCGTCTCCGGGGCTTCCACCGCTGCCCCTTGCTCCAGGACATCACCGCCCCTCACCTGGGCAGCGTCAGCAGTTGCCTCCCTGCTCCGTCCTCCCCACTGTCCAACCAGCATCGCTGCTGTCTTCACAGCCAGGGCCGCCAGGCTGCCGCGGCCTCCCCGGCCCCCGCCTGGTTCCCAGCCTCGGCTTCTGTGGCTCATCCTGGGGGCGGAATCTCCTGCGGACTGCTCTGCATGTTGAGCCTAGCAGGAGCCCGGATTTCCGAGGCGGGGGGGGGGGGGGGGGGGGGCGGGGGGGGGGGGGGGGGGGGGGGGGGCGCCCCGGAATTTACTTACTTCCACGGGATTCTCTTTCTCATTAAAGTCTGAGCGTCCCTCCTCACCTTGGAGATAATCTCTGATGCAACACTTTCAAGCCCTTTCTACAGATGGGGAACAGGTCTGGAAGGAATAGCTCTCTCAGGCCTCAGGTTCACATTAGGGAACTGAAGGGTTCAAGCCAGACCTCAGGGCAAAGGTGCATTAACAATCTGCAAGAGGCATTTCCCACACTACTCGATTGGTCGGCGTGCGAGTTCCACAGAACATTGTTGGCAAGGCCTGGGAGGCGGCGCCTGGGGAGGTGCCATGCCCACGCCTCTAGAGTGGGGTGAGGGGCCGAGCCGCAGTGCTTCCGGGGGCCTGCAGGTGGCGCCGTCTGCCAGACAGTGAGGCCCGCGCTCGGCAGGAGAGGGTGGGCTCTTCCCGGGTGGCCGCCCGCGGCAGAAGGTGCAGGGCCGGAAAGAGCGGCGTTCCCTTAGCGTCCCTCCTCCCCGGCCTTTCTCCGCCGTGCCACCTTTACCCACCTGCTGCTGACCCCTTCGCCCCTCACGCAGGCCTGCACAGGGGCCCCCAGTGGAGGTGCATAGGGTGTCTCGCTCCTGCCGGTGCGAGGAGCCCAAGGCAGCCTGGAGTTGGGGCCGGGGCAACCACGTTAGGGGTGATAACGATTTCCTGCCGTCCTCTCCTCCTGGGCCCCCGGGGTGCGGGTGGGGTTGCTCCTTGACCTCCTGGAGGTTCCTGCCCTGGCCCGGACTCTGGCCCAGACTCTGGCCCAGGGGGCAGCACTGTGGACAAGAGCCCTACCTCTGCACGGGGGAGCAAGTAGCTGCCCACCTGGGGAGTGGGTGTGGGTCCCCTCTGGGACTGAAGTTGTTGCCATGGAGCCGGGCCCCCAGGGCCACTGTCCTGAACCGCTGCCCTCTGCTGTCCTGGTGAGCCTGCCACTGCCACCCCACAGGCCAAGTGACTTTCTTTTCCAGTCCCATGGAACTGGTTTCTTCTGTGTCTTCCCCACTCTGTGCGGCTGCGGCCAGGCCAAGTGCAGGGCCTTGGCCTTCCTTGCCCTTGTCCTCCAGCCTCAGAGGGGCAGAGTCCCCCGGGCTTCCTCCCGAC